ACATCGCTCCAGACGCAGGGCTGCCGCTCATACAATTGCCTCTCCTGTGGCATGCAGGGTAAGTATCAAAAGAAACGTGCATTTGAATGACGCAAAGACGATTTGCTATAAAAAAAATTACATGAAAATTATACATTACAAAACTGAAATGACTGAAGTAGGTGGACATGCAGAATGAGGCGTAAAATTGGTTTGAATGGTTTTGGCGCGCAAATCTTGCATAAATTACTATCGTTCGGTCAGATACACGACACTCGTGACACTTTAGGCTGAATAGGTCACTTTTATTTCATTTTACTTATTTCTTTGTTTGAGAAAAAAACCTGCACGGTTTTAATACACAAGGAAGAAATTTGTGTAACAAGATTAAGGAAGATTTCATTTGTATTTTCTACCTCGGCCGCCACAAAAAATGTATGCATGTAATAAATTACTGTACGATTACATGAGCATATGAGGTGGTGACAATAACTGACAATAAGCGTGGAACGTCATTTTTTTTTTTGCATTGCAGGAGTTAATTTTTTCAAGCCACCTGTTTCTTGAGTGAGACATAAATGACATCAAAACGAAACCAAAACAGACATCTGAATTTTTAATGCTAAATTCTGGCTCCTGTCCCCGAGAGTCATAACCTGGAATGTCTTTTGACCAGCATATTATTTTCAAACTGAGAAAGGGATGTGATTTCTTTCATTTATAGAGAACACTAAGGCAAATATACAAGGTCCTTTCTAAAAAGGAAGACTTTCACGGCTTCTACCTTGATGAAGAGTAAGTATAATAAACATCTATCAAATTTTAATTTAACTACCAAACAGGTCTTAGCTTCACTTAAAAAACCAAGTAAGTTCTAATTTGAAGAGAAAGTAAATTACTGCACGTACATCAATGGTAGGCCACACCTGGAGGGAATCTACGCAGATTTGGAACAGGTCAATTACACGTAGTATAAAATAAAAGCCAACTGAAATAGTAATGACAGGAGGATTTATTAGTACCTCAGGATGTTTCTTTGGAAGCCACTACAGAACTTGGAAGGGTCAACAGCGAACACCTCCACCTCATGAATGACAATAGTACCCATTGTATTATGCCTTCCAACCCAATTTAGCTCTAGTTTTTCACCTGCCTTTTTTGTAGATTAACCCTTTAACCCCAAAAATCAACTTGCATATTCTTTACACTGTTCTCTGTTCATTTGTGATCATTTTAGTTTATTCTGTTTGATTTGTCTGTGATACTGTAAGGAGAAATTTGATGCTGGTCGCTGCTAGGGGTTAAAGGGTTAAAAAGAATTTCCTTCAGAAGTTCAAAATGCCAGTGTCATTGAACATTGATGCCAATAATATGTACCTGATACCTGCCAAAGAGACAATATGTATCAAAGATCAAGAAAGTGACTTTGCTTTGGTGATATATCTTTTTAGAGTAAGCTCTGACAACAATGCTACTATCTTCCAAAGAGTAATGGCCCAAGTGTTACACCAACATGGAGGAGAGGAAAGGTGTCCATAGACAAGGGCCGTGGTGGAAGGTACACTGTCATTCACATAAGGCAATTCACAGTCCAACCTTTATAATTGCTGTGGTCACCCTTTGGGAAGGGGCAAAATGACGGGTTAGTTTGACCCATTTAATACAGGTTCAAAACGCTTTAAGGGACATTAACAAAAACACTACAAAGATACAGTAGTGAGTGAGAGTAGTGAGGGATTAATCCTTACCTCAAGGAGTTTTCCATTCCTCCAGATGAAGAGAGAAAGAAAGTCAACAATAAAACAGTTCATTACAAGGAATGCACAATTTCATTTAGTGCAGCGGTATGCTAATTGTTTTAAGAAGTGACCATTTAAACAGCCTGAAAGTGGGACTGCTTAATGTAAATTTACCTGTATTCATATGTATAATAGTCACACATCATTAAAGTCGGACAAATTTAGGCCATCTCCTGTTTATTTTAATTTTGGAACAGATCACGTGATATAATATAAATATAACATCAATTAAGATTTTAACCATCCAGTGGTAGCTTCATATCATTTGTAAAACATTGACAGGTTGGCCCCAGTGTTTATAAGTGATGAATTACCTTTGTCCTTAAGCAAAGAAGAAAATCTTAATTGTTTTATTTGCTGGGCACCCTGAATTTTATAAGTTAGAGTAATTGGTTCCCCTACAATACATCATTTCCTAGAATACAGTCCCCTGTACTGATGTAAGCCTGTGCTAATGCTAGACACCTTACTTTACCATTACAACAGCTGCTCTACAAAGATATTTTCAGTCATTAAATGAGACTAGAAGACTGAAAAATTCTGAAAAATATGAAAATCATAAAAGGAGGACACACATGTTGCATGATTTCTTAGAGTAACCTGATGTAAACCTTGGATGCGTAGTTGGTTTAAGTGGCTTGCTATCTCTGAAAAGGCAGTAAATAACATATCTACTGACCATATCTTTTCATTCAAAAAACAACAATTTATTATAAGATTTAATTTTTGTGATGTACAGAATAATAAGAGAGATTAGTCTGGATATTGTTTAAGTCTCATCTAATTATACTCTTTGGTTACATATCCAATGGTGGAATCAGTTGGATTGTATTGTAATGAGTTCTGGCCCACCACCTACTCTTATTCTGTTTCTTTCTTTTAGAAGTTTACAAGGAGGACAGCTGCCTTTGAAATGGTGAAATGGGGCGACAACCATGAGAATGGAAGAAGAGGTCCTGGTGATGGAGACAATGAGCAGCGAGGATAGCTGTTATAAAGCTGACGAAGATGGCAAGGAGGCACTAACCAGTTATAAGATCAAAAAGCTCCCTTGGGAGAGCACAGCTCTGCGAAAAATCAAAAAGCAGCTTGATAAAAAGTATAACAAGAGGCTAAGAGGGCACGTGACAGGATTGTGCCTAGAACTGTAAGGAGCCGTCAGAACGTGACCCTCCTGAAATTCGTGAATGGTCCCTTAATGCTCAAGCATCAGATCTTGATTCTTCAACCACTTCATCTGTGTGATTGCAGGACTATCTTCATAAGTTGACAATGAACAGTGTTGTGAATTTATTTTATAAATTAACGATCATCAGACCTATTTGATAAAGATGTACTTTTAACTTTTTGAAGTTGTGGTCCTTGGTCTATTTTTTTTTTTTCACCACAAAGTGGTTTTGCCATTAAAGTAGGCAGTGAATAATTTCAAAATAAGAATTAGACATTATTGACAATAAACTGATGTTAAAGTAGATTTTGTTTGTTTCACTGTATTTATTTATTTCTTTAAGAGGAACCATGCAGTCATGGATTCCAGTGTTCAACTTATGATATTTTTCTCCGACAAGCTGAGATACCCCAGTTTTAATCCCTTTATCTTATTCTCTTCTTTGGGGCTTTTAATGAACATTAAAATACATCGAATTGAAGGCACATTAAAGATGACAAACGCGGGGTATTATGAAACATTAAAATGGAATTAAAGGCAAATTAAAGATGACCTGGTGCCTTTATCAAACATTAAAATAGAATTAAAGACAAATTAAAGATGACTTGGGGCTTTTATAAAACATTAAAATAGAATTAAAGACAAATTAAAGATGACATGACTCTTTAATACTACATTAAAGTAGAATTAAAGGCAAAGCAAAGATATACCGCCAAGCATTTTTGAAAAATTAAAGCTATACTAAAGTTGACACAAAAGATTAATTAAATGTTACTTTAGAACGCTTTAGGAGCAGTTCCTAAAGTTTATGAAATGAACCTTTCAGTTACCTTTCTTCTTAACTTAAAGCGGTTATGAAATGGTTCATAAGTTAGCCTTTAATTTTCACCTTAAAGTCTATGAAAAGTGTATTTCATGTCTTTAGTAAATAAATTAAAGATAGTTTAAATACTTCTTTTGTGTATCTTTAGGTAAGCTTTAAAACAAATTAATTCTATTATTTCTTCCTGTGTTAGTGTCTATACCAAATCCCTATCAGCTATTGGACATACATAAGGTAATGTCGCACCTTCAGAGTGGGTTTTAAATTTCCAAGAAACTGACCAGTCGCTTTGAACTTCTCCAAACCAGGAAGACACTCCAATTTCATACCCCTTGTCGCATTCCAGAGGTAAAAGACGAAAGGTGGTAGCAGGAACCGTTAATTCTCCCCATTCAGCTTCATTGCCTAGTGGCTTTATCTCCCTATACCGTACAGTGCTCTTCGTTATGGTGCATATTTCTTTTCTACTCCACGTTACATTGACTTTGCAACCATGTATTTCCGACTCTTTGTTGTTTATCACGGGTGTAATTGGTTTGCCTTTAAATAATGAGAATAATACTATGATTATTTAGTGATTTCCACCGATTTTTTTGCAGTGATAGATGAATGTAGAAAGGTACACTACGAAACCTACAAAACTATCTAACAACTTATTAAACTCGAACAATTAACAACCAGCTCACCGACGCCATCTTAAGTAACTGATATAATTATGCGCATGCGTTGAGTCCTTTAAAAAGAGTTCTTGGTTAATTCCTGCGAGACCGAGGTCCCTTGAATGTGACAATAAGCACACAAAAAAATTGATTTTGTTACTTAAATTTGCCTGTAATTAATTTTTGAAACTTCACAGTGGGCGCTTATTCGAGGAGGGCGTTTACTCGAAGCTAGCGCTTACTAAATTTTCACCATTTTCAGCAAGTTTAGTATGTTTATTTTGGAACAAAACAATAAATGGCAATAATAAAACGCGAAGATGTAACAAAGCAAGGTTTCTGTAAAATACTCTGAAGAAAACTCCTTCTCAGGGGAAGTCTCTTATTAGTACTTATTCAATTTCAATTTCAATTTCAATCTCATTGTCACTCACGTCAGTAAGTGATTTCTCTGGTGCTGCCTCCTCGATGTCCGACGTCGTAACGTCGGCAAATGGCAAAATAAAAATAGTGTCCCCAATTAGTACTTTCGTACTAAATATATCAACACTCAAATAATTAAGTGCATTTTTTTAGATACTACTCTTGCCTTTGATTAAGTCACCAATCTGCTTCACGGATAAAGCTTTTCCAGTCACGTAAAGATCCATGATTGCTCCAACAAACACCCCATTTGCCATTGGCATCCGGACTAAACCCGGATCATTCCCTATGATGTACTCTGGCCCTATGATGTACTCTGGCTGATAACGGCCTAACGATGAGAAGAAATACTCATTCCATTGGTCTATCAGTGCCTCCTCCGTACCATTAACGAACACCTTGATCTTATGCAGCTGACAGGTTACTGCTACGTGATTCCAGTAATTGATTTGTAAGTGGAAAGTGTTGTGTATCGATAGAATGAGTCGGGAATTCTTGACCGTCACGTAAAATAGTTTTCCACCCTTTGACCAAAGGGCCATTATAGGCCCGTGAACACCAATATACTTTACCCAAAATGCAATTGTAAAGTCACAGGTTGTTATGTTAATGTTAGGGACAGTAGCATAGGAACCATTCTGACTGAAAGTGGCCGCTTTGCTTCCGGGACACCAGCCTTCAGCATGGTTAACGGTACCAAAATACCTCTAAGATAACAAAAACCAATGAATAGAATCTAGCTGTGAATAAAAGAATTACCTGTCATAGGAACATGCAAGGCACTATTTTACCCTCGAATCCTAAGTTATGAGACAAAAATTAACCAGTCGACGCTATGAGTGTAATGCCACCTGCAGCAGTCAGAAATGCAAATGCATAAGTTTTGTGGCGATGCTGAAACCTGGATGTCATCATGAAAGAGACAATGGTTAATCTGAAAATTTATTTAAGAGTTAGAGAGAACTAAGAAGGGAAGTCGTTGTCGTATAAAATCTTTTGAAATACGAAAGTAGGGGTAAGGCATAAAAAGCCAAGCCTCCGCCCCCACCCCCCAGCCCCCCCTCGCCTCGCCCCCAACATTGAACAAACTAGAGACATATAACCCCACTAACCTCACATCTGGATCACTGCCATCTAGAAACCAGCGGCGGTATACGGGTTTTCCTAACAAAACGTGCAAGTTCATTCCAACAGTAAAAATATATGGCGATATCAAACAAACCTGTAATAATAAGCTACTCTGATTTCATTATACTTCGGTCTTTCGTTTCCGTTTATAATGTTTAGAACCATAAGCATTTTACGTAAACTTAGGACTCTTTAACTGAGACCGAAAAAAGGCATGTATACGCTCAACAGCAAAGCTTTGAGATGAAACAATTCTTAGTTCGTCTGAACTTTGTTTTTGCTTGTTTGTTATTTATTGTTTTCCCAAAGAATCCCCACAATGCATAGGTCATTGATTCCTTATTTTCTATCTTGGGCCAGTTCTATGAAGTCACGCCGAAGCCAAAGTATCAAGCTTAAAGGTTTCTTCAATAGGAAATATAATGAATCAGACCTAAAGAATTCACGTTGTTATATTCATACTACTTGTGCTGGCGATTTTAAGGGGGAGATTATATTGGCTGGGCCGCCAGCTCGGAATAGTGTTAACAGGAACAGCTTCACCCAAGGCCTTAACAAGCAATTTACTTGGCCGACTTATCAAGAAGGTACGCAATTCTTTACCACAAGAAACCAGTTTTTAAGGCCCAGTGGTCACGAAACGCCACAGTAAATGTAACTTCAACATGTTTAACATCCTACGAATGACGTTTTTATTGAAGATGTAAGTACAATTTACTGTACATTGAGTAAGGAGTGGAAGGTTTAGGGTACCTGTTTAGGATTCTTCGATCAACCTTATTCTGGGATACGAATACGTAGAATCGCGTGTAATCTTTTATTATAATTATCATTTTTTTCATTATTCCTCTTAATGCTTCGGGGAGCATAAAACGGAATAATTACAACAACAAGAACAATGGCTGACTTTTCTCGGTTACGCAAAAAAAGCAACGAGTGGGGCAAAGAAGCAAAAGGATTTTATAACATAACAAAAGTAAATCGCGCGCTCTGATTGGTCAGTTAGCCACTACCATTCGCCCGTGGGTGCACGCCAAGAAACTGAGCTGGCGCGGTAAAATTTGAGCAAATTCAACAAACCTCCTCTCCTGACGGTAAAATACACAGATGAAATGCACAGATGAAAAGTGGAAGTTAAAGAAAATACTTAGCTGTCGATAAAAAGACAAAAGATCAAGCGACAAATTTCCCCTGGATGAATTAAGCAGCACTGTTTTCCTCGCGGCTAGAATCGGCTGAGGGAAAATCGAGCGAGCGAAGATTTAAGGTACATTTTGTGTTTTTTATAGAAGAGAAAGCCTGTTTGAAATGTAAATTTATCAATTAGCATTGTGTTATTGACTTTTTGGTCAAGCTGATGCTAAATTCAAGGAAATGTTTTAGGAAACAAGCTCAAATTCGAGACAGCTTTGTTGTGAAGTTTTCATCGCATCGATTAAAAATTTTAGTTGAGTTTATTAAAAGGGCACATTAAGCTGGAATAAGCGAATTTCATTTGAGTAAAGAAACATTTGGGTTTTCAAATAATTTTTTTTCAAAAAATAACTTCTGTGTGTATTATTTTGTTCCTCAGTGTCCATTCATAACAGTCGTTCAGAGAACGGTCGAAAAACAACAACTTCAGCGCCGGCTGTTTGTCGGCGAATTTCACGGATGCAACTTTGACTTTCATAGCTGGATTTCCCGAGATATTTCGATACAAAGCTAGTTAATTTCTTTTTAAAATTGATGTTAGTTGTTATTCTAAAGGAATTACAGTCAAATTTTCTCATTTCTACTTTACGTTTATTTCAAAAATTGTCACATAAATAAGCTTGATAATTATGTCATTTATTTAGTTTTAGCTTATTTTTTAGAGTCGCTTTAGCTGGTGTTTATAGTTGTAGCTGTAGTTTTCCCTCAAAGTTTTTACCCTAATATTAAGAGCAAGTAAACAGATGCCAAGAGAATAACAACACAAAACGTTTTGCAATTTACCTGAAGACGGAGAACGGTTGATTCAGCGAAAGAAAAACTCAAAGGCAAGTTTTTGAAAAACGTAGAACAAGATTTGTTTACGCGCGGGTAGACGGCAGCATACATCAACGCGGACCGATGACTCAACCGAAGGCAAATGGAAAATAATGTTTTTCTCTTTTGATTTTCTTATAAAAGAAATGGTAAATGTTGCAGCTGTGCAACCATGGAGTTATTGATGCACTTGGGAGGTTTGCTAAGCACTCAAGAAGCTAGAGTGGCACTCGGCTATCGCCTCGTGCGACTCTTACGCTTCTTTCGTGCTTAGCAACCTCCCGCGTGCCTCCATAACTCCATGGTTGCACGCTGCACGTTTACCATTTCTTATTGGCAGGACAACAGCTTTGCACGTGCAGCACGCTTTTTAGTCTCGCTTGCACAAGCAGCGAGACTCATAAGATGTGCAAGCCGTTTTTTTTCCTTCGTATTCAGGACACAAAAGGGAGATCATGTTCCCAGGCGTTCCTAGCGGAGACCTTGGAAACGGGAAATAAGAACGGTTGTGTAACCGAAGCCATGCATGTTTTGCGAAGAAAGCTTAGGAAAGATTAATGCGGCTTAGAGCTTTTCCGGAACGGGTAGGTCCACGAATTCTATTTCTTGAAAGCGTTAATTACTTTAGAAAAAGTGAAAACTTCAATGGTCGAAAAAAAGAAAAATTAATTAGCAAAACTTTGATGGTGAGGCTAACTGGTTTGGGTGTTCAACCTCGTCCCCAGGGCTTTTCTCTCAAAAAATGGGTGGGGCGGGAAAAGGCCCTGGCATCGGCTGGTCAGGTGTACAGCCTAAATATTCCTGAGAAGCTAATTTATATGCAACCCACTGGTTTTGCACTGGCAGAAGGGAGTAACAATGGAAAATAATAACATCACGAACTGTGTCAATTTTTTTCTTTGTCAAATGTCAATTTTTCGCGTGTGTGCGATTCAAAAGCTTAAGATCCATTTAACTGCGCATTATTCAAATGCTAGAAGTTTATGAAAGGGCGTGCAGGCTAAACGTTGTCACGTACAAAATATGCCAGATGCTTCAGAGTTGAGACAAGCTGTTATCAACTAGTACTTCATCTGAACTTCATCGTGACTGTGGAATTACTGTACGATCAAGCGGAAAGTGATTTTGTCCAATGTCAAACAAAAATGTGGGCCTTTGCCTCCGGGATCTGCAGTGAGTTTAAAAAAGTTGAACTTAATTGAAATAAAATTGTTCATCAAAATGCTTTATGGAGTCTGGTCTTCTCTACAAACGGACCATGAAACAAACAAATCTCCGCGCCGGATGCAAGTCAGCCCTCCTGCCAGGGACGATAACAGGTCGCCTGTCTGAAACATTTGAAGACCTCTTATATATTTTCTCTTTCGAGGATAAGTACAAAGGATTTTCCTCATATTAAAGGGAAGATTGATTGATCGATTGGAATCAACTAGAGCTCTCATCGATTTTAAATGGACCCAAGTCTTTCTTTGTTGGTCAGTCGTTTGATAGCAGAGGTCAATGAATTTTTTTAAAATACGGGTCATGCAGGATAAGTCTAAACCAACGAGTGTCGCTATGATATGGCCGAGAGTTAAGGTGAATAGAACTAGGCTGTGTGCGGCGGCCCACTTCGCAAGAAATGAAATAAAATGTCAGAAGAGTCGAGAAAGCGGACTTTCCCTTTATGCATGTACGATAGCTTGTTTGTCATTTATACCGCTCTATGAGCGGAAGTTTTACAAATGTTACTCGCTTTCCCCTTCATAGAAATCGGAGGAAAGCAAAAAATTACCATAGCCAGTATCTGTGACAAAAAGGAAATCTTGTAAAACTTTTCGTTAGTCGTCAAGGATATAAAAGGTCGCTCAAGATCGCGCGCTTTGAGGTTACGCATAATTTTAGCTTTTTACATAGCGCTAATTTATTACACCCAGGATTTTAGGGTATACGAGGAGACACGTGATCAGCCGATGCAGGGCCTTTTCCCGTCCCACCCATTTTTTGAGGGAAGAGCCCTGGGGATGAGGATGTTGGGTGTTGTAAACTTTCGTTGTATGCAAATAAGTCTTTTGGTGAGCATGCGGTTAATTTTCGGCTGTTTGGCAATGATGTAATTTTCCCCGAATCAAGGCCCTTGATTTTCTTGTAATTTATACACGCGTATAGCCTGCCACCGCCAACGTATTCCCGGTCGTCGCTAAATCCTGTTTAGTGCAGAATTAATCGCCTCCTAGACTGTGAGCAGTCTCTTATTTTTCTTTTGAGTCATAGTAGGTCGAGAGCATAATTTTACTTTTTTGCTCGCCGAACGTAGCCCTTAGCAAAGAAGGACGACCGCTTGCGGTCTAATAGCCTCCTCATTTGTTATCTTATCTCCAAGCAAGCGAGACTCAACGCTTCTGGGAGCAACGCTCCTTAACAAAGCTGTGAAATGAAATATTTCTTACTTCGTCTGAACTTTATTTTTGTGTGTTTGTTATTGTTTGTTGTTTTCCCAAAGGGTCTCCACAATGCATAGGAACAACTTGAGTCATGAATTCCTTCTTTTCTATCTTGGGCATTCTATAAAGTCACGCCCAAGTCAAAGTATCAGAATTAAAGGTTTCTTCAATAGGTTTCTTCAGCGGTCACGAAACGCCATGACGGTAAATGTAAATATTAATATTAGCAGTAAAGTAGTAAAGGCTTCCAAAAGTGATAAATTAAGCAAGGATTTGTTTGTATTTTTTCCGAATTCCACAAAAGAAGGATGTTACCAAAAAAAAAGTACCTTTGCAGCCATATAGTTCCACCCTCATTGATATGTGGTTATGCCAAGCTGTTGGTTGAAAACGTGTGTAGTGTGCTACAATCGGTTCATTGAGTTCGTTATAAACGGTAGTATTCTCGTCTGTGTCGCCAACAAACACCTGAAGCACACCAAAAAAAAAAAACCAGAACAAAACAAAAACAGTAGTTATATGGACAATTAGTAGCGGTTTTGGCGCCATTTGACTGCTATTCACAATCGGAGGGTGACATTTTGTGTCGCTAGGCACTGAATTTCATAACACCCTTGGTCCCTGCACACCTAGACGTAAGCTCTAATACTGATGAAAGCTGTTAATAATAGCATCTGGAGATGCAAATAGGATTGTTTTTAAAACAAACACTATGAACATGAAATTTGAGTATCTGGCAGAGGTTTTGGGGAACAAGAGACCTTGACCATTTACTTCTAGAAAACACTGAAGAGGTATCCTGAAATGGCGTCTAGGGAACAGGTTAACGGCTGAGTCTTTCCAGTAACAGGGGGACATTGATTTTCTAGTTGAAAATAATATCATTTTAATAAACTTTTGCTTTTAGACTTCTATTGTTCGACAATTTTGCTGCTTCTCTGGTCTTTTGCAGTTGGTTGTTACTTGGGTGCGAGTAGACTGGGGCCTGAGGTCGTTTTCTTCCCTCCAAAGAACTGCTGACTATTTTTTCTTTACGCTTTGCCCGGATACCTTTTCAGGTTCTGCAACAGGTTAGGCCTGACCCCCATTACAACTCTATGTGCTTGAAACTCCGGAAAGCTAACAACATTGAATTTTCGGGAACATGTTAATTAAAATTTCCTTTAGAAAACAGAGTGAAATTCAAAATTATTTTGGGGAACTGTACAGTACCGCAAATGAGCCCCGACCACGACACCCCAAAAGGAAAAGGATGGCTAAAATGGACCACAAATTATCCTCGACCCCAAATGATACCCATCATCTTGTTTGCTCGGTGCTGGAAACTTTTTTCAGCCTCACTCACCCCGACTGACTCCTCAGAGGGAGTTGAATGAGGAGATTAAGTATGGTGACGAATGACGAAGATCAAAGTACACTTTACCAATGAAGGGGTAACCGATGCACTAGCCTGAATTTCATCCGATTACTTCGAGTCGTTATTACTCCCTCAGTGACGTCTGAAACGACCGGCCGTTAATGCCGTCCAGTGACGTCACTACTCCTTTGTTGTAATTTAGGCAAAAACTAAAACACGATTTTCAAGTGGCAAACCAAGAAATATCGTTTGGAAATGTCTACATGATACAGAACAGCTGATAGAATTGCTTTACTTTTTTCGAAGGTAATTCATGTTTAACGTACAAACTATCAACTGCATGCAGTACTCTGAACCAGTTGTAATTCAAACTCGGTCGTAATCACGCAATGAAATAAATACACACACGGAACACTTAGTTAAAAAACACAACAATTTCCTTTAATTGAAAAGAAGCTATTTTGTCCTTAACGAATAAAAAAGAAAACAAGGAAACAAGATAGAAAAGCTAACAGAATCATTACACTTGACGGTGAAAATAGCAAGAAGACCGAATGACAACATGACATTGGTCTCAAAAACTTCGCATAAACAAAATCACTGCCGAAACCACAAAGCGGCTCTAAATGAAAAACCTACCGACTCTCCGCAATGATTCTTCATTCGCAGTTCAATTTAGCAATTCAGTTTCGAAGACAAGCCAGGGCAATTTTGCTGTTTACGGGCGCGACCCATTCAACCGAAATTTCCGGAAATTTGGGTCCAAAACTCAATGGATTGATTTGGTCCAACCAGAAAAGTTTCGAAAAGACAGGTCCACCTTTTGAGGTGGACCACTTTTCCCGGTCGGACCGGTCGGAGTTTTGATTGAATGAATCGCGCACTACGGATAAAGATTATCGAAATGTTTGAACTCCAAGCAAGCGTTAATCCACCAATGCGATCCGCTGAATACCCGGAATAAGCGACAATCTCGCTAAAATTTCTCATAATTATGTATAAATTATGCGAATGTTTAGACAATCAATCAATCAAAATCACTACCCTGTTTTCGGGTAGCATAGTGACGTCACTGGACAGCATTAACGGCTGGTCGATTCAGAAGCTGCTGAGAGGAGAAAACGACTCGAAGCAATCGGATGAAATTCAGGCTACCGATGCATAAGATCTCGAAACTCACAAGATGATTACTTTGATAATAACAGTTTTGGGTTTAAGGGTTACATTCAGTGAAACAGATTACTGAACTCTATTTTGTTTCCTTGCCGGGTCAGCTATTTGCTGTATCTACTAATTTTTTTTTGACAAGCAACAATCACTTCATTAAAAAAGTAACATACTCCGCACAATATAAATGTCTGCAGTGCCAGGTGTCTAACCTTGTGTTCACTTTGTCCCTGTTGTTTGTACAACTGGAAATTCAGACCGTCGTCGCTATATTTCAGCGTGTAATTTATTACCCACTGGCTCTGGAAATTAATTCCTTGCGTTGCCACCCGTGTGACAGTGACAGGATTGGTACCTAAATCAATCTGTAGCCATTGCTCAGCGTCATTAGCGTAAGCTGACCAAGATCCTTTCAAATTCAGTCTACCCTGACTGGCTTCATGGTTGGCATCAAGCTGTGACGAAGCACTAATCTGCCCGTCAGAGATCGCTCCTTTCTCCATACCCAGAGCCTCTTGACATTCTAAATAACAAAAGAAAGTAAAAGGTAACACCACAAAGATTGAGTGCTACTTGGAAATCAATGGATGTGGTTCTGTCAATGAAAATTCCATAAAAGTCGCCATGCTTTATTTAAGATTTGTGACACAAATACATTAAAATGTTTAAAAGGATCGTTCACTGAGGGCGAATGGGAAAGAAGAGGACTAATAGCCATTTGGGCCGACCCTATTAATTAGTCGAACTTAATTAGTCGGACTCAATTCATTTTCAAAATGTACATGGTCTACAACATTTACCAGTGAAAATAAATTATTAATAGTAATTTATGCATTAGGTTCGGCACATGAAAAGTCAGTCGACGTTTGAAACGAAGTCGCTCCTATAAGTCGAAACTCTCATGTCCGCCGTTCGAATTAATTTATGGTTCGATCCAAATTAGATATATCGAACTTGATTGATTCAAAAGTCAATCTTTTTCTTGTATTTAACTGAAGGATTTGGTTCGGTAATGAAAAGTTCCACGTTTGAACTGGGTCTGACAAAAAAAAATCGTCGGGGCGACGTTTTTACTGTTCACAATGTTTTGGTATAGAGCGTTATACTTTTCACCTACATGACCAGCGGCTATGCAAATTGAAACAAAGGAAAGTTTTAACCTAAGAAAAAAATTCAACTCCCACAGGATTGGTTTGTCACACCAACATGGCCGCCGTTTGATCGTTTTGACAAACCAATATGGCGGACGTGACGTCTTGCAAATTGTTGTTTTGTGATACACAAATCACTAACAGCCACGGTCGTACAAAAATTTCGACTTAGTAAATCGACACTATCGCCTGATGAAGACCTGCAGTGTGCGGTCGAAACGTCGTGATCAATAGCAAAGTGACAATCGTGCGACAAACGATAAAACTAGACCCTTTAATCCAATTGTTCTAATTTCTAATCTTAGTTTTCATTGAGGCTGCACCTAAACTCTCAGATACGTGTGGAGGGAAATGATAGATGCCTTCTTTCTCTGGTAATTTTAGCGCCTGCTGAAAAGGCCAAAAAAAGCTATTTCTAAAAATTTGATAATGAGTTAACATGTTCCACGTCGATCCAATGGCCTGACTGCACCGGGCATTGTTACATATACTTGGATCCAGATCGGAAGTGTTTTGTTTCCTGTGATGCAAAATAATTTCATATGCTTGTTTATTAATAAAGTACTGGGTAACATTACCCCTAGCTCGTTCCTCTTTGGACCAATATTAACCGGTGACTTCGCGCTTTAAGGAGCCGATCGCTTATTACGTCTCGGGGGTGGCGGGGGTTGGTAGGGGGTAAAATTTTCTAAGAGGCTTGATTTTGGGGGGTCAATTATTTTGAAAATGCATAAAATGTGAAGGGGGTCGAAATATTAAGACACAGGACTGGCCTTCTATGTAAAAGTTGCCAGACTATATTATGATTAAAGCAAATCCACGTTTCCTTCAAAAGTAGCCAAAAAAATTTGCTTCGGCGGTTCTTTGTCAACAACAAAATGTTACCCGTATAAAGCTTGGCTCAGAAACCAGCTATCAGCTATTTCTACTACCAGGAATGTAGCGTGCATGTACGCAGATATGCTTATGCATACAACTGAAATCTGTATATAGATTTTTTTTTATCTCCTGAAACCATTTTTATTTCCAATTATATTGGCGTTTTTGTGTTAGGATTTCCTTTATCCTTTTACTGGTTAAGTGGAGTTTAATGGATCCGAATTTGAAGCCACAAACCTTGGTTGAGACTTTTGACCAAGCCAACTCTACTATTCTATCCCGGAGTATAATGTACCTCTCATAACTTTGTTGACTTATCCTGTGCAAACCTGAGGGTAGCTTTTGCGGTATAAAGAGACTACAAACTCCTCTACGAAGGACCGTGACAGACGAAAGATTGAGCTCTCTTGCAATTCTGCATATACACAAGCACAAGGACGTAATTGATATTCAGTGGTGGATCCAGACCTTCAGATAAGATAATTTTTTTTCTGCCCTTCGGGCTTCATTTTGGTCGAAAGATAAGGGGGGGGGGCGGTCCCCTCCCCTGGATCTGCCACTGATATTGATGGCATGATAACAGAGTTTGCCCGTCTAAATGGTACACATCTCGCCCTTTGCTTGTAATGTCCTTGATGCCGTAATCAGTCCGTAGGCTTATCGATAACACTAAAGATACATGGGTAAAATAAACAACTAATGACTGCATTTTCCCTCGTCTTTATTTACTGAAAATATCCTGCAGAAAACGCACCAGATGGCATTTCGGAGACCCCAAATTTAAAAATTTTCTGCTGGGAGAGCATGCTACCAGACTACCCCAGGCTTGGGGCGTCGTCGGCGCTCTAACTTTTCTTCCCTCCGCGTGAACCTTCAAAATCTCACGCTACGCTGCCAACTACTTGTATCTTATAGCTAGTGAAATCAATGCCCAAGGATGAAAGAAGAAACTTGATCTAGAAGGGGTTGGAGGGTGGGGGTGTGCATTTCAAAAACTGCTATTGCCAAGGGGGCGGGGGGAGGGGTACAAATTCCATATGTAATTATCTTGGGGGGTAAAGTTTTGATACACCAAACTTTTCTGACCTTCCCACCCCCAACCCCCCCCCCCCACCGGGACGTAATAAACGACCGGCCCCCTTTAAAATTCCTTTATATCCTTACCATCATTTTTGTAACGCTGCATGGTGGAACATCAAGAGAAAAACAAGGGTAAAAAGAAGTAAGAAACAAAAATTAGAATTATACAAACCATTACAGCTGACTTCGTTCACTTCCTCGCTCCAGTATCCTCTTATTCCGCACCGAACAGATGAAGGGCCACTAATTTGTTTTCCATCAGCGCAGGAAAATGAGCAAATTGAGTGGTATCTTTGATTGTATAAAACACAACTGTCGGGCAAAATTTGTACCTCATTTAAGGAGGAGAGTTTTCGGCACGTAAATCCTTTAAAAGATGAAATATAGAGCAAGTTTAAAAAAGTAAAGAAGATAAACAATGACTACACTGATGATCAATGGATAGATTACTTAGACCTTTAAATGTGTCAAAAAGTTCATAACCGCGTTTTCTTTTTGTCTAACGCAATAATAATAACTGTTATCTGGGACTTGATCCTCAATTTAGGCTCTTCATTAATTGAAATTTCTGCTTTTGTTGTTGCTGTTTTTTTTTTCTTCTCATTTGTTGTATTTTTAATTCAAATTCATTAGAATACTCAACACAATGGAATGAAACTTCTTCCAACCAAAAAAGAAAAAAAAAATCACTCTTTTCTTTTTAGCTGCCTGCCCGACCATGCAGTGACCGGCCCTGTGCTCGTGGACGTAAGGACATTTTAGCAACATACTTTTTCGCAGAGGAGTTATTTGTGTCCTTGATTTCAGTTAAATTCGCGATTCGCCTTAGTTTGCTGCAACCTAGTTTCAGGGTCCCATTCTACTCTTTCTGCGGAGCGTCTCTCTTATTCGAATTTCGGAGAGTAGGAGAACACCCAGGGAACGAGGTTGTGTTTACTGCATTATCGAACATAAAACCTTCATGCAATCGTGTCACAAATCTGGTAAAATATTATCCAATCCTCCAGAAAACCGCTAATGGGCAATGACCGCAGACGAATAACAGCGACTTAATGACAATAAAGAGTTTGTGTGTGTGTGTTTGTAGAAAATATAAATAGGTAGGTAAGCCCCCTTACTTAAAGTAACTTTTAAAAATGCGCTACACGAGTGCATAGCATTAGTTACTATAAAATATAAAATACTAGGCTAGTCTTGAAGGAGCTATTATTATTTCAATCTACACCATTGTGACTTTTCTTAAAAAAAAAAAAATGCCAGAAAACATTTGAGATACGTCTCTTTAAATATAAAACTATTTCATTTCTTGTTGTCCGAACATAACGTGACCTACCCGAGGACAATTCACAAGAATAATGACGAGGAGTATTACAGTTCAAGTCATTCCATTTCCTTGAGGGATACATTTCTACGCAATCTTCAGTGCCTTTCCAGTTGTCTGGCTGGTTATTAGCAAAGTTTAGGTAAACCGCTAACGAACCATCAATCCATTGCCAGCGTGAGTTATTACTTGGGTCTCGGTGCAAACCAATCCATGCCCTGCTTACCCAACCAATTTCTTGTTGTTCAGCTGGTGAATCCAACATTGCGAGATTAGATCCGAGTGCTTCACACGCAAATTTTGCCGCGATCCATTCCAGGGAATTAGAGGATAGTTTATAGCACGAAGATTGGTGTTGAGTCCAATCAAGAGGGCAACCTATAAAAGATAATTAATTATATAAAAACTGATGTCGACAGAATTGTTATCTCTTCAATTGAGTTTAAGACTGCTCTGATTCCCTATTATGCGTACAGATTAGGCACTAAATTGAGATTTGAGATAGATCTTTGAATTTTAAAATCTGGTCATGTTTCTAAATATTTCTTCACTGTGCATAAAATTAGATATACACAAAACTTGCTCAGGGCAAACATAATACGAAAAAGTACAAACTAGGAGGAAATAAGGGGCAAAGATGGTAAATACCACATTTGCCCGTGAATTTGCAACCCTATCATGTAAATTAGGATGCAGTTGCCTTATTTACCATCTTTGCCCCTGGTTTCCTCCTAGTTTGCACTTCTTTGCATCATATTTGCCCCGAGCAAATATTTGGTGTTAATCTAGAATTTTTCGTGCATTGCTGATTGAACATGCACGTCGGTCATTTCGAAGTGCTTTAAAATAAGCGCGCCTGTACTTGGCTACGTTATACGTTTTTGATGCATTGACGCTACAAGATTTTTCTTATTTTCTTATTTACAACTAAGAAATGAAGGACTTGGTTGATTAGTTCTAACTCGGAAATAACCAGTGATAAGGCGGTCCTTGTATTCTTTTTCTTTGGAGGCAACTTTTCGGTGATTTTCGCGCTCCCTCGAGAAAAAAAATCGTTTTTTTTTTTAATCATTGCAAGGTTACGCAGAACTTTGGCGCTACATTGGTATGGGGAGTTAGTTTCATCTACGGAGTTGATAAACTTGATTTCTCACCTTAAAAGATTTAAGAGCTGACCCCTCATGTTATATTCTTTC